CCCTCTCCATCCTTCCTGTAGGCCCCTTCAGGTACTGGAAGGCTGCTCTAAGGTCACCCTGGAGCCTTCTCTTCTCCAGGCTGAACAGCCCCAACTCCCTCAGCCTGTTCTCGTAAATTGGCAGGTGGGGGTAGAGAAGTCATTGAAATTTTGTGTGGCCAGCTTTGCTTTCTCTCTCAGATACCCCAGTTTGTGTCCGTTGAGTAGCAGCCATGGCGGCAAGGAGTCAGACTCAACAGGACAAACGCATTCTCTGGTCACCTTCCTGCAGCCCTGCTTCTCCTAGAGCCTTTTGCAGCATGTGCCACTGATCTTGGTGAAAGCAGGACTTCACTCAGCCAGGTTTTTCACAATAGACTTCTGTGAACCTTTAGGGGGTCAACATACCCAGGACAAGTCTGCTAGCCTGTAGGTTAGTTTTGATTATTTATAGAATAGATACAAGGGAAAAGCAGCAGCTTATATTGTTCTTTTAAAATGAACCAGTTTGACCATGCAAAGACACAGAGAGAAACCAAGTAGGTGCTAACAGACTTCAGATCCTCCTTTCTTTGTTTTTTAATAAGTCTGTTGGAAGCACTGGCTTGGCTGAGAGGAAAATAGTTATTAGGACCCACTTAGCCACTGCTTTTTCACTCTGAATAGATCATGAGCCACTGTTTTCCTCCTCCCTTTCAAACTAGTGCTGGGGGCCAATTTTGCTAAAGGTACTGATTGTGGGAGAGGTTTTTTGACTTCCTGGCTCAACTTCTGGCAAGCAAAGTACTTGCTGCAGGGTGGCACCCTCAGGTAGATACCAGAGTAAACTTTGTGTAGTTAAGAAATGTAATTACATTGAACCCTGATTCAGCAAGAACTTAAAGAGTCCTCCCTTACCAGACTCAAGCTCTTCTTTCTGGGAGTAGTAGAAAGACAGAGTGTTAAGAAGTCATACATTGTCACTGAAAAATATTTAAAACTGCTGCTTGTTTATTTTTTTCTTTTAATGATCGGAAACTTTAAAAAAAAAAAGCTATGTAAAACATTAGCCTGATGATCATAGAATCTGGTCGAGATCTTTCCCAATTTCACTGGCATGGTTGAACACACACTGCAAAAAGACAACTGGGTCATATAACGTAGCCCATTGCTGTATAGAATAACCAAAGGAATGATTCAGATGCTGAGGGCACTACAGAGGCAAGTAAAGTTCACGAGGTAGGTCTTGCTTAAATTGCTACTATGCTTCTTTTTCTGAAGGGGAAAAAGTGTTCTCAAATAAGGAAATATTTTTCCTAGAAGGCATCTGGTTTCTTCAAACATATTTGCAACAAAAATCTCTGCTTTGTAATGCATAATGGTAATTTTTCTTCCACTGAGCTATGTTGTAGGAGAACTTGTTTCTAGCCTTGTTCTTGAATTGCTGTTTGGATTGGCCTCAGACATGACTTGTGACCTTGCTTTTCCCTGGGGTTCACTGGATTGTGAACAGGACCTGTTGCTATCACTGCCCCTGCTCTGCTTACAAAGCTCAGATCCAGAGGAGCTTGTGGTTCTGGGCTCACCCTCGGCTCTCTGCTTGCCCTCCCTGCATGGAGCAGCTCCTTGGGGCATCACAAAGCTGAAATATATTTTACATTCTTTCAAGATTTCTAGATGAAATGAGACATTGCCATTGTGAAAATAATTATTTATACCTGCTGCAGTGCCATGATACAGTCAAATTACTGTTATTATACTCAAACACCAGGGTATATTCACATCTGATGTTTATAGAGAGTTGAGGATGTGTAGAAATGCCTGGGGTTATGCTGACACAGGATACTTAAACACCCTGCTCAGTGTTCCCAGGACATTCAGCAAACAGTGATACCTGGAGGCAACTCTCGATGGCTTGTTGGCAAAGCGAAGGCTTATGAGCTTCATGAGGCTTTTGCTCTTTTCTTTTTCTTTCTTTTTTCTTTTAATAAGTATGCAAGGAACAAAATGCCAAGATGAGAGAATTTCATATTTACCTAGAAATGCACAATAGCTACAAAGCAACTGCAAGCCAAGACTGCTGTTGCCCCAGCTTAGGTGATGGCTGGAGTCTGGGATGAGTGACATTTTGTACCATACCAGTGCTGCTGACTCAACAGCAGCTAAGCTGAATTCTCCATGTGTCACTCAGACTAAATGCCCCTTGACTCCAGAGCAAAACCTGTCTGATCAATGCCTGAAGGATGCAGCCCTGAAGTATACAGTTCCCTGCTACTGCCAGTTAAGTGAGAATGCCATCCCCATCACTGACTGGGGACCGTTTCCACTGTATTGTTATTAACCTTCACAGGTTTTGCCAGTGCCTAGAAGGCTTAACTGAGTTTGGAGACAGTGTGCTGGCATGGTCTCAGTAAAGAGATAGCATCTGTCTCAAGGAGGCAAAGGGCAATACCTCTAGGAGCAGGGCAAAGAATAATATGCAAGTCCTCTCACTTTCCGCCCTGGGCCCTATCCATCAGAATGCGTTATCTTCCCTGAACTCCAACCAAAAAACAAGGTGACTAGCTTTACCTCCCTCTGCTTAACATGGGAACTGCTAAGGTGTAGTAAATGGTTACATTGCTGAAATCTGATTTTTAAGATTTTGCTTCCAGCCCTGGAGAACTGCCAGGTTGCTTTACAATGGCAGCATTTTCCTTGGTGTTTTGCTTTCCTATTCCCCGGTGCTAAACTGGCTAGGCTTCACACTTGCCTCTCGCACAACAATCTTGGATCTTTGAAGTAATAATACATGTGTTCAGCTGTTGCACAAATAACCATCTCATGTTTGCCAATTATGCTCTGCTTGTCTGTTGTTAACAAACCATGCAGTTTCAAGTTTCTTGTAATAAATGCAAGCATATTTATCTTGTAATTTTATAGGCATAAATGTAATTAAACCAGAGAAACACAGTAATAATTACCAGGTAGATACCAAATTACACTATGTTGATCCTAAATGCTTCTGTATGATGCTAATCGTGTCACGCGGTATTTGTATTTCTGTGATACTTTCCTTAACATCTTTGAGAACAGCCACGTGAAACTGATGATTTTGTACTTTATTATCCGGGGCCTTCAATTTAAATTGACTTCCCAGCCACAAGGCAATCACAAATCTTACATGGGACAGAGATGTGACAATTTCATTGCTAGATAACAATGCAAATGTAAGATGAAGATATGAATAACAATTGTAGTTGCTCACACCAAAGTAGTTTCATGTTAAATTGCATTGCTTGGTGAGTTTTTTAAGATAGCAGAGATTCCTATGCCCTGCCTCGACTTCCTGACAGGAAATGTCATCTGTCACACTTCCTGCTTGCCGCAGTGGGGAAGGAGAAGACAATAAACATTGTCTTCACCAAGGCCATTGCATGGCACAGAACATCTGTGAGGAACCGCTCCCAGCTGGGCAGGAAGAACAGTGAACAAACAGCAAAAAGAGATGAGAAGAGACAAGTACAGCAAGGAGGACAAGTTCAAAACACGTGGGACCTCTGAAAACAATTCACCTGGACACCCCTCCTTTTTCTAACATAGTATGAAGCTGAGACTAGCATGATTTTGTGGATGTTCCTGTACTTTCTGAAGTCATAGAACAGTTCAACAAATAACAGTTTTTAAGGCCCACAGAAGTACTCATGTTTTACAGGGAAAAGTAAGGGCTTCTCAAACAGATCCTAAGGTACAGTAGTAATATGTCTTCCTAACAGGCAAAGCCAAAAGGTCAGAGTTGTTAGGTCACCTACGCCTCTCTATAGAGGAAGGACAGAAGGTGAAGTTCCAGTGCATCAAAAAGCTATTGTGTGTGCAAATGCACACATGAAGGCAGCAGTTTTGTCTAACTGTTAAGAGAAGCTCTGCTGGCTTTTCATCTCCCTGGGGCTGATTCCAACTTCATCTGTTAATATAGCAAGTTATATTGAATTGATTGTCATCAAAGTTTGTTGATCAGGATCCAGACTTTCATGCTGGCAGCAAGCCCTGAATATGGATTTGTCGCAATCATAAGCAAGGCTGGGATATTTTGAATAAACATGGGCTCCCCTGGTGCAGGGCCAATTTGTCATCTGAATACGAGAAGTGTAGTTACGGGTAGTAAATGCCAGAATACTAAAAGCTTGGAGACTCCTGAGAACCCTACCATGAGTCAGCTCCCTTATCATGTGAGCCTAAGCAAAGCAAAAGAGAGAAAAACTCTGGATGGTATTTGCATTTCAAACACATTTACATTTAATTTACTAATATTTGTAATGCATTCGCCGAATAAGCTGCAGTGAATTTCAACAAACTTTTTTATACCTAAGCAAACCTGAGCTCCCAAAGGGGCTGCCAACTCAGGTTCAAGGCCCAAGCAAAGCAGATGTTCACAGCAGACTGCTGGGGGCAACGGCATGGCCCTGCTGCCCACTGCCTGCAACGCCAGGCTGCTGCCCGCAGCGAAACAGGGCTCCACGTGTATGGGGCAGCCGTAACTGCTGCCTGGGAAGCGTCAGAGGAGGGGGGTTCCTTCTTCAGGAGGAGCAGCCACCCTCTCACGCTCTCAGGGTGAGGAGGAATAGCAAACCCGGCTTTCAGAGACTTCTCTTTGCGTTCTCCCCTGCCTCCATACCTCACGGCAGCTTTGCTGGACCCCTCCCAGGCTGTGGCCTCTCACCTCCCGGGCAGGAGAATTCACCGCTACCTGAGCAGCCAAACAGGAGGACAGCCGTCTCTTTAATGGCCAAACGCCCTCCCACCGGCATAGGTGCTGTTTGCATCGCCACGAAAATAAGATGGCGCCTGTACAGTCAGCGCGGGGTGCATTAGGCCCAGGCTCAGGTGGCTCTGTCAGCAGCCAGCTGGTTTGTAAGGGCAGCGGATGCCATGGCAGCGTGGCTGACACAGGGTCTGGAGCAAGGGCAGAAACCAGGCTCTTTAGCGAGCATTTTAGCGAGCCAGTGTTTCTTCTGCTGTTTCAGCACTGACCAGCCCGTGCCTGAAGCCCAGCCAGCCCCTGACACACGCACTGCGGCTCCTGTAAAGCACCAGCTGCAGATAAATGTCTCCGTGTGCCAGGGGTTCATAGGATCTACCCTCACCCAGAGCTGGGGACAGGATCCCCCCCTGCCCTGATGGCGGTGAGCAGCAATTTATGCCCAAGGCTATTATCAAACCTGGGAGTTGCCAAGTAGACAGGAGAGGAGGCTGAACATCCCACCCTTGACGGCGCCTTGCCTGTTAGCAGCTTTCTCTGAACACCCTAGACGCAAGAAACCTAAGTGCCTATTTCTGAAAACCCAGCTTTGTTTCCTACCTTCTTCAAGGTGTCATGATGTGTATATTTCGCTGCTTAAGCTCTTTTCTGGCAAGATGGAGCAGCATGGAGGGTGCCCTGTGGGCCCTCGGCCTCCGCAGGTTTCGCCCCTCCTGCACCGAGAGCAGTTGCAGGAACCTCACCTCCTCGCTCACCAGAGCTCCAGTGCTGAGCTCCTCCACTCTGTGTGTGCACAAAAAACAGCTCTACCTAGTAATGGCCTGAGATTTTTCTCAAGTGTAGGGACACCAT